TAAGTCCCCGGGTGCGGATGGTATCCTTCCAGCTTTTCTGCAACAGGGGGAGCAGGTGCTACTGCCTCACCTTGTTCGGCTGATGAGGGATAGCCTTGCGCTGGCATATATCCCAGAACCATGGCGCACTGCAAAGGTGATCTTCATACCCAAAGTAGGAAGGAAGGACTACTCATTGGCGAAATCATTTAGGTCAATCAGTCTTACTTCCTTCCTACTTAAGAGTATGGAAAAGATCATAGACCACGAAATACGATCGAAGGTGCTGAAGGCTTCACCGCTTCATGCGAAGCAACATGCCCACAGAACAGGCAGATCAACAAACACTGCTAATCTCAGAGATCCAGAATTCGTTAGATGGGGGCGAGGTGATGTTATGCGCCTTCCCTGACATCGAAGGTGCCTTTGACAATACGTCTCATGAAAGCGTGTCAAGAGCACTGGAGAAAAGGAGTGTGGCAGCACCAGTGCGCAGATGGATTGCAGCCGTACTGCACACTAGGGTAGTGGAAACCGTAGTAGGAGACACCAAAATTCGTCTGGGCACAACAAGAGGTTGCCCACAGGGTGGAGTGCTATCTCCCCTACTTTGGAGACTAGTTGTGGACGATCTCCTAGAGCGGCTAACTAGCAATGGAATCCGTTGTCAGAGATATGCGGATGACATTGTTATCTTAGCTAGGGGAAAATTCGAAGACACACTCTGCGATATCGTACAGAGGGGGCTGGGACTGGCAAAGGGATGGTGTAGTGGGGTTGGCTTAAACATCAACCCCTCTAAAACTACAATCATTCCCTTCACCAGACGGAGGTCTCTGCCATGCCTCAGAAATATATCCCTTGACGGCAGAGTGGTGGAGATGGCCAGCACGGTCAAGTATCTGGACCTCACGCTGGATTTCACTCTACGATGGAAGCAGCACGTGGACCAGACCCTAACCAAAGCTACAAAAGCACTCATGGTGTGCAACCGACTTGCTGGAAAATCCTGGGGGTGCTCCCCAAGGACAATCAGGTGGATGTCCACCATGATCGTGAGACCGATTATCACGTATGGAGCGGTATCGTGGGTTTCTAAAGCCTCGAAGACTTCGAAAGGACTCAAACTGTCGAAGCTGCAAAGACTTGCCTGCATCTGTGCGTCGGGAGCAATGCGAACGTGTCCGAACGCAGCACTGGAAGTCATGCTAGAACTTTCACCGCTGCACCTGGTAATCAAACAGACAGCCAAACGAACTCTACTCCAAATGACATCAGAGGGAGTTGGCAAAGGGAAGGTAATCTCATCCCAGCAGATGAAAGCGCTAAGTGAGGAAATACCACTAGCCCTTCTCCCAAGGGATAGCATTACCAAAGTAGTAAACTTCACCAAGAAGTTCAAAGTTACCCTTGGCAGCAAGTCTGAATGGAATGATTCATCACTGGACCTGCTGCTAAGGGAAAGCACTATCAAGTGGTACACCGACGGGTCGAAAACGGAGGAGGGGATTTGGTGCAGGTGTCGCTGGGCCAAGCACCAAACTCTCCATTCCCAAGAGAAGTTTCCCGAGCATCTTCCAAGCCGAGGTCTATGCTATAAGTCGGTGTGTAGGGATAAACCTCCAACGCAACTATCGCAATAAAAGTATTGCTGTACTCAGCGATAGTCAGGCGGCACTAAGAGCGATCTCTGCCTATGAGGTCAGATCTCTTCTAGTGCTGGAGTGTATAGAACGGCTGAACAGCCTATCAAAGCACAACCGAGTGCACCTTATTTGGGTGCCTGGTCACAGGGGTATAGCCGGGAACGAACTGGCTGACGAGTTGGCCCGCTCTGCGGCCTCTACTAAAATGGTAGGACCGGAACCATTCATAGCGGTTGGTCCACATACAATTAAAGAGCTCCTCCGTAGGAAGGAAAGAGTAGGTAGGGAGACATATTGGCAACAACTTCAGGGCATGCACCATGCCAGACTGCTAATGGGGGGTTACGACCTCAAACGGTTCAAAACCATAATTAATCTCCCGAGGAACAAATTCCGGCTACTTGTCGCGTTCTACACCGGCCACTGCAGGCTTAAGAAGCACCTCTTCAACATGGGTATAGCCTCTTCTGCAAACTGCCGGTTCTGCGACATAGAGCCAGAAACCCCTGAACATCTGCTGATGAACTGCACAGCAGTCTGCAGACGCAGAATCAAGGCCCTGGGATCCATGTTTCCTCACAGGGATTGTATCGCCTCACTAGCACCCAGCAGAATTTTGGAATTTATCAACATACTGGGCCTAGATGATACGATATGACTTAGGGGAGGGCACAATAGACCATAGGGCGCGGTGCATACCTCATAATTAATCTATTCTATTCTACTTTATACTCTCTCAATTTGAAAAGACGAAAGGGAATATACTTTCAGGTGTTGAAAGCATTATACTTGTATTGTATTAACCAAGTAAGAAAGCGTCAATTTCGGATGTAACCGAGCATTTTATACTCTTGCAACCTGCAAGGATCAAAGCCAAAGATCACCTTAAATGAAAAACACGTGATATAAATTCAATCGAAGAGGCTCAATTTAATATATTGAGTTGATGCAGAAAACGTCAACCAGAGAATCGAAGTTCATTATATTAAGGATATGAGGTTTAGATCACCACATAATTTTTACGAAAACTTGTTTCATTTCATTAAAATATCACAAATTTTCACTTTGCTCACATATACTTGAGAATATATTTTTAAGCAATTTTGTAAATATGTAACTCACACACTGAACGACATACACGGTACAAGGCTTGTATATGGGAGTCGGGGTAGATCGTAGATTAAACCCACATATTTTCGGCATTAAAATTAAATTAGTATATCCACTATTAAACGTTCATTTGTTATTTTGCTAAGATATCTTACATATTCAGTGATATATATGGTATAAGGCCAAACGGAAGTTTGAAAATCTTATGTTACGGTTTTTAGAGATAAGGTTCTTTATTTTTGATAATACCATATACTATTATCATGCCACATACAAAAATATGCTCCCTGAGTTACAATAAAGTACCTCAATAATCATCACCAATATATTGGGTTGGCAACTAAGTAATTGCGAATTTTTTTAAAAAATCAAAGACAATTTTTTCATGGAACTAAATAACTTTTTTCTGTAATGTATTGCCCATTTTGATCAATGACCTTTTGCCATCTTTTAGGCAGCATCATAATCCCACGTTCATAAAACTTCTGGTTTTTATTAGCAAAAAACTGAATCAGGTACGATTTGACATCATTCAAGGAGTTTTGTAAAGATCGAAACAAAAACTAATCCGATGGTGCAAGATCAGGACTATATGGTGGATGTGGCAAAACATCCCAACCGAGCTCCAATAATTTTTGCCGAGTAACCAAAGATGTGCGTGGCCGCTTTTCTTCAACTGCATTGTTAAATTTCGTTAGTTGTTCAAATAAGACAACAGAATTGATCGTTCGGTTGGGTGGTAAGAGTTCAAAGTAGACAATTCCTTTATAATCCCACCAAACTGATAACAAAACCTTTTTTGATGAATACCAGCTTTTGATGTTGTTCGAGCTGGTTCACCTGGCCTGCTCCACGATCTTTTCCGCTCGATATTGTTGTAAACAACCCATTTTTCATCGCCAGTTATCATTTTAAAAATGAATAATTTTCATTACGTTTCTTTAGCAAATCGCTGCTGATAATGCGTTGCGTTAAATGCGTTTCTTTCAGTTCGTGAGGAACCCATGTATCGAGTTTTTGAACATAGCCAAGTTGTTTTAAATGATTTTCAATGCATGTATGTGATACCTAAAGCTTCTCTGCAATCTCCCGTGTTGTACTGTGACGATCCGAATCGATTATTGCTTGATTAGGTCGTCATCAACTTCAACTGGACGACCAGAGAGTTTTTCATCTTTGAGTGAAAAATCACCAGAACAAAATTTGGCAAACCAATTTTGACAGTGCCGTTCTTTTATGGCTTCGTCGCCATAAGCAGCACATAACTTTTTGTGAGCTTGCGATGCGTTTTTCCCTTTGCGAAAATTAAATAGCAAAATATGACGAAAATGTTCCTTTTGATCGTCCATTTTTCAACGAACGCCAAACGAAAACTACGCAACCGATCAAAAAACTTTTTTTTACTGATTGATAGCTGAATTGCCAACTATTAATAACAAAATGTGTTTTACATTTGGACTACGCCAGCAAACCTCAAAATTCAATTACCGCAATTACTTAGTTGCCAACCCAATATATGTATGGAATAAAGCCAGCCAGATGTTAGGAAATCGTGATTGTTATTATATGCGGGCTAGGGCAAGTTTCCATTTGATATTATATATATATATATGAAATATATGAAATGTTCGCTGTAGGGACTGGAGTCCACATATTCGGTATCTAGGGGCTTGAACAGTTGTAGTCCGATTTTGACAATGTTTGGTCACAGGGTGGTCTACTTTAAATTATGTTATACGGGAAGTAGGCTAGATTGTAATTTAATTCTGCTCATTTTCTCACTGTAACATATAAATGTCGGGATAATGTTATGTATCGAATTTGGTTGAACTTGGTCGATTATGTCCCGAAATATGTTTGTGGTTTCTCCTAAATGTGGGCGATGCCACGCCTTTAATCCAATTTTAACACCGGCTCCTATTAAGCTCTCTCATATTATCCTGGGTAAACAATTTAATGTCTTCGGCGCGTTTATTTATTGCTTTATAGCGCTTTTAGTATATGTTAAGAAACCCGTTATAATCCGATTTCATTCATTTTACACTGACGAAAGGATTTGCCTGCGCAAATTTGGTCATATAGCTTGAATGGATATATGCATTGAGAATAGGTATTAAGAGGCGGGGCTGCGCCCACTCATTAATGCAATTCGTTGTACCCAATTATTTTAGCAACCAATTGTCTCGAGGCGATGACAGCAACGATAAAATAATCTAACCTTTGTATATATCTTAACGTTATTTGGATTAAAGAAAATAAACTTACAGCTCATCTGGGCAATTGAACGGTTGCGCTAATCGATAACCATCTTTTAGATAATGTTCCATCTCGAATGGATCCACCTCAGAGTATGGTTGCTTGGCATAAGTGCATAACTCCCACATAAGTACGCCGAACGCCCACGAATCGCTCGCTTCCGCAAACTGTTTATGCTGTAAAGCTTCCAAAGAAAGCCATTTTACTGGGCGGTTTTCACTGTCACCCAAACAATTGTAATCACATGCAAAAAGATCGCGGGAGAGAGAACTGTCTGACAGTTTGACACGCAATTGATCATCAATGCTGTAAGTAAATAAATATAAAATATGCATTTTATATTATGTGACACTTAACGAAGTTGATCAAAGCGAACTTAATCAACGAACGAAGTGTAATGTTTTGTTACGATAATACTTACACACAGTTTCTCGTTGCTATATCCCTATGAACAACGCCATGACTGTGTAAGTGAACTAGAGCTTGGGCCAACTGTGCGGACATCATTACTATTTGTACGGTGGTTATAGTGCGTGCGCAGGACGGATCAAGGAGAAAAAGTTTCAGATTACGAGTAGTGTTCGGCGCAGAGTATAGAACAAAAGGCGTCGTATGATCTTCAATGGAGACGCCCAAAACCGAAAGAATGCCCTGATGAGAAGCACCATACAGAGACATGCCTTCTTGCAACAGTAAAGACACCTGCATTTGGCTGGCATGCTGTGCCACCGTCTTCACAAGCACATCTTGATTGTCATTATATGAGCCTCGATAGACGCGTCCAAATGTGCCCTCTTGCAGTAAACTGGAGAGACGCACGCGACAGCGTTCCACTGTCAACTCCGATATACGCCTGTGTAGCTCTTCCGGGTGTTGCGGTTCTATTTGTACTTTGCGTGGCAAAGAGCTATGTATCGGTGCAATTATAGATGGGGGACTATTATAGGTGGCAGACTGTTGACATGGAGCACTCGTACTGAGACGCTGAAAGCTTGAAGTGCGCATAGGTTGACCATGATTTTGCCGCTTTGCCGAACGTCGTACACAGTAAGCTGTTAATAGCAGTATTATGACGAGCGCTAAAGCCAAAGAACTGCCCACAATGATGGTCAGTATACCTGTTGGTGGTGGTGCAGCAGTCTCTAGTAGCACCGGTCCATGCACCGAGTTATCCTCCTCTGGCCCGACAAGCAAACACATTTTTTTACGTCTAAATACCAAATGAGTCACATTGTTCAGAGCTCGATTAAGTATAACCTCTAAGGAAATTGAGACGTCCACTTCGGAAGCGCGAATGCCTGAGCATTTTAGACCGATTGTAAACGTTTGTACGCTAGTTGGTATTTCGCCGATTTGTGGTATAACCATTAACGGTCGTGGCAAGACCTCCGGTTCTGATGTAATTACATTAATGCTATACGGTAGCGGACGACCGGCTAAACTTTGCCAGGTAAAAGTGATGTCACGTACATTCGCCGGCACTGGTACAACAAAATTAAGCGCGTAATTATTGACGTGGCCTTCGCGTACATAGTACACTTCGGCAGAGACACCTAGAAGATAAGAAAAACGTTTGCTATTACCACTGGGAATATTGTTAAAAGTATAAATATTTTTTTTTTACATTTTTACACTGAAATGAAGAAAATCAACAAGAGATTCACCGCCGAATTTTTGAAGGTCATGACATTAAAGGTACGTGTTGTTTGAGTATATATATGTTAATGCAAAGGTATAAGTCTGTACATTAAAATTATTGCAGTGGAGGTACGGAAAAATTGCATATTTGCATACGAAGGCTGTATGAGCACAACCGAAAAAGATGCTAGCCAAACGAGATGACGGTCACAATTACATCTATGCACAGTGGTATTATTATATATAGGTATTTTTTGTCAAAAAAACAAGGAACTATTGAAGAACAATTCAAAAAAAAATTTATCTGAAATTTTGAGAGAATTTATTAATTAGCAATCACTATTTTCCTACTAATGGAAAAATAAAAAAAATACAAGCAGAGTATTCTAAACATCAGTAGAGGTTGTTAGAGTATCAGAAAAGTCCAAAAAATTATACAAAATTACCCTCAAATTATGTAAGTAGATGGATATATCTTACACTAGAAATATATTAAGGGAACTTGTTGGTCATTCCTGAATATTTGGGTATGCGAAAGTTCCGTGCAAACTGTGTACGACGCAAGCACAAAATTATTCTAAAACATCAATAAATTGATAATTGGGTATAGTGCTTGGACCTGTTTAATCGAAATAACTTAAATTATTCCGTCGATGTGTGACATAAAATCACCGCTCCATTATTTCACTACGGAATTCAAGCGATCTGAGCGGACTACTGGCGATGGACCGAACCCTAACAGTGAAAAAGATAAATATTAACCTGATAAGTGTGTGTCAACATATTTCTTCTAGAGGATAAAATGTGAAATTATTCAAAATTGCCTAAAATTGAAACACCACTGTGCTGCAGGAGACACATCAACAGACAGACGACAACGACAATCTAATTTCACAAACTTTGCTACACAATTTGATTGTCGGAGCCCATGCACGTCTCAAAGAGAACTTTTCAACACTTCTGAAAGTGGAAAGCATGCGACAAGTTGATTACTAGCACCACCAGCACTGATTTAGAGATAAATGTAAAACGTTAAATATTCTTGACTGACACTGTGGCATTTCGCACTCTAGTTTATCTGCCAGTCAATCAGCCAATAAAAATTTAAAAGCATCAATTTAAAGGAAAGCGCGAAGCTCAACATGTACTCGAAAGTGTACAGATTACCGTCATCTAAAAGTGTATACTTGTAGATAAAATATATGTTTGTGGATTTGGATGTGAGTATTTATGGAACTTAGCCCTTTCTTGGCCAGCTACAGCTCGCGCTTTTGGCATTTCAAATGCTATAAAAACACGTATGTATACCCCTTTCGCATCGAAGACTCTCCCACCGATACTGTTATTGTGCGAAAGCAACAAAATGTAACTCAGCTCCATACTCTGTAATTTGTCTAGCGCTAATGAAAGTTGTAGAATGTTGACGATTTGCCCCATAAATGCAGTCTTACTTAGCTTCCTCGAGGTAGGTATCCTTGTGGTCCATAGGTAGAAGGTTTCATTGCAAACAAATTTTATAAAACAACTTTTCAAAAAATGCCCGAAGCACTTTGTTGCTCCGCTGCAGAGCTAACTCGTACTATGCCTGTATATATGTATATTATAAACATTAATTGCGATTCCTCCATACGTTGTACAATTTCGAACAAACTAATTAAAATAAATTCTCGTTTTAGAAAGCGTTTAATGCACGTGACTGCTCAAAATGTAAAGTAACCCAGTAGTATACAAACCTAGCCTCAATAGAAGAAAAAGCAAAAAAAGGGAATGGAGCTGATTAAAACGATCAGGTCTTAAGAGCTCTTAGACTTTTCAAGGTTAAAAACTCTTCTGCGATCTGAACTATGGAAGTAATGTTAAATTCTTAAAGAGAAAGTAATTAATAAAATTTTTAGTAAACAGAACAGTGACACAATTGTCCATTTCTGTAATTTGGTCAAAAAATTCACATATGAGTGCAAAACGAAAATGCGAGTTGTATTTGAGAAGAGCGCATTCATATTTAAGTGGTTCATCAAGCTTCCAAATTTGGTTTTCAGATTTTACTCAAGTTTTACTATCATGAATGGCTTAAACGAAAAATATCTTTAAACAGTTGTAATACAAAGTAACTTGTTACAGAAAATGTATTTACATACTTATTAAGTTAAGATTAAGTGTCATGGTAAATGCTGCTTGTCTGTTTGAACATCTTGTATATATATATCTCGATTCGCTGCTGTCTATAGCTGTATCAAATAAAAAACTTCCAATTTTTAAATAAGAACGATGTTCCCGTGAAGTCGTTTTTTTTCGTGGTAACTTATGTGTGTTAAAAATGTAATAAAATTATTTGTCTAGTCGTGTAGTAACACAGTAAATCTTTTGTTATTATTTCATAACATTAAATAAAAAGTTAAAAACTACTGGTGGAAGCGGTTCCCCAGCATTGATAACTATCGGCAATATCAATAACAGTATACTAAAAGTATCAAACTACCTTAAAATTCTAGAAATTTGTAATTCCAATTATTAAGAAAAGTATTGAATTTCTAATATATACTTTATTATTTAATATGTTCTGTTTATGATATTGAATAGATCAGAACATTTTAGTCGTTTATAATAAAAGAAAACGAAGTTGTGAATCGAGAGTATATAAATTGGATGTATGGAGATCCGGGTAACTTCAGGTCCGATCTTAACCGTTTCTGAATATAATATTTCCACTTCTTTTTACTAAAAATAAGTTGCACTTTGAATAATATATTCGGCAAACATATGTAGTACGTAAGGTGATCAAAACTATTATAGACTATGCAACATGTACTTTTCAGTAATCATACATCATATTCCAGCCTTAATAATTTTGGAAAAAAGTGAGTTTAGCTAAATCGACTGGGTTCTAGAATTATCTACAAATCGAAAACGTTTTAATATTATAATTTTATATATAAACGTAGTATGAAAACCTTACATAATCATACTACAATTTGGTTTATCGTCTTGTATTTGCCTAAAAACCAAAGAATGTTTTCTTTAAGCAAGCGTTCCATCACAGGTTTCGATAAACTTTCGATGGTTTCTGTTTCTAACAGCAAAAAGTTCTCCAAAAGAAACTTAACAGTCGTACGTCCTTCTTCGGTCAAAAATCAGTGGAACTTACCCCACCCAGTCACTGGCGACATGAGTCCAGCAACTTAAGTCGACAAATTTTCTGCATTCCCTTCCATACCATATTCTCAAATTCTTTCAACTATGCATTACAAAAACTTATTTTTCATTAGCTATATTATATCCTCTTTTGCCGAATTCTAAAATATTTCAATTACATTATGCATATATTGTACGCATATATACGATAAAATTTAAATTTCCGAACATGGTGTAAGTATTCACTTAAAACTGAGCGCAATTGTAACCATGGAAAGAATTTCAAAATAAAAAAGAATGCCGAACCACGTAGCAGCGAAAGTTACGAACAAAAACAAAAAATATGTTGCCCAAAGGTGAGCGACTAGGTACCTTTGCTTGGGAAACCAAAATCTTTGTGTGTGCACTCCGACTTAGTGTCCTTAAAAATCTGACAGATGTAAGCACTTGTAGGAGCATATAAGTTGAAACTTTGAACTGTACAAAAATAATTTCTAATTTTAGTTCTCGATTAGTAAGTCCAGTTTTAGAGTGAGCGTTGTACAACGGAGGCAGAAAAACTGTTGAATAATAAGTACAATTGTGTTGCATATATAAAAGAGCATTAAATTTCTTGTTCTCGACCCTTAGTACTGACAAAATGCACACTATTTGATATAATCACAGACCGTTTCTCACAACTGCCGCTACATAACCAGAACAAATTGCGCCGAGGCTGTCAACTCTGCAGAACTTCTTGTATTATTTAGGGAATATATTCTGCCGTTGCAATAACAATACACTTACCAAAGAATGGTTGCTCTAACGTCTTTTGCTTTATTAGTCTGAACATTTTTATGGCTACCACTCGTACTTATCGTATACCACTCTTTGCTTTTAAATTCCTTTGAAAGATCTTTCCCCACCAATGTTTTTTGTACAACAAACAAAAAATACATACATACATACATGCATACTTTTAATGTAAATGTGCTTATAAGTATATATTATATTAAGCAAATAATAAGGTTATGATGGCATTAGGGAGTTTAGCAAAAGCCACATTGTCAGGCTTCGCTTCGGCACATTTTATTTTGAGATTGTATTCAGGGGAGATAGGCCAGTCAACGAAGTACAATCGAAATCCTTATCAACAGCATGTACGTCAGACACACTACATATTACCACTTTCGTACGTCTATAAATATGGCACAATGAGGTATGGAAATGTGTATAACTGCACCCATGCATATGTACATATGTGTACATTATGCCTGCAACGACGTGTGATATGGAGGCAATAGTGCCGTTGCTATGTGAATGATAGGCACTTACTCATGCACATGCTTTTGTGTCCGCTCAAGTGATTGCGAGTGTGCGAGTCTGTTCTTTGGTCAATGTTAAAAGCTTAATTGCGGTTAATAGTGAGGCGCCTAATGAGTAGGTTGATGGCACGCTCGAAAGTACACGCACACAAACACACATACATATGTGTTCAGATTACTTTGCAACGGAAAGAATGATGTGAAAGCCTTCAGTTGGGTGCTTATAAGAAAATATTGACAAAGCAATTTTGTAACACAACAATTAAGCACTTAAGCATTAATAGCAACGAATGAGGATTGCCGGCGAATGCGAGTATGAAGACGGTCAAGTGGTGCCTGTAGTGTGTGTGAGTGAGCAAGCAAGTAGCTGAAGCTGAAATTAACAATTGTGGGAAACACTTCATGCAATTAATAAAAGTTACTTAATGGTCAAGTGTGAATATGGCTGATAGGAAAATTATGGTGTCCGACTTAAGGCT